CATTGTCTGGTAATTGTGGTACAACACTAATATTATTTAATTTACATTGTTCCATAATTTTATCGGATACAGTTTTTAATGCTCGTTCAATATCTTCAACTAAACAATGTAAAATTCTAATTGTATTTTCATTTTCAGTTATTTCAGCACATTTATTATTAATTAAATTTTGTAATAAATTTTCATTATTTGAAACTGTTTGTTGATGATATTGTTGTTGTTGTCCTGTTAATGAATGTGATTTTTGTCGTGTTTGTTGTGTTGAATATTGATGACGAACACTTGAATACACTAAAAGATAAATAATGATAAAATACGATTAAAAATAATTACTAAGAAAAAACTTGATTTTAGAAAGTTCGTTTTTTTTTTTTTAATTGGAAGTTATTCTTTGATTTGTCTATAATCAAGTTTTCTCATTTTATCTACTATAGATACACTTACCACCCATCTGGTTCTGATGCTTTTTCTATTTTCTTTTTTTTGAATGAATTGAAAGTGAGTAGAATTTTTTTTTTTTTTGAATGTTTTTCTTATTCGCGCTGGAATTCGATCTGCCCCTCGAATTAGCGCATATACAAATTTCATAATAATAATAATAATAACAAGAAAAAGAAGATATATTTAGGCAGATTAAAATCCATGGGAATAGAAGAGAGAGAGAAAGAGAAAGAGAATTATTATTATTTTCTCTAATTATTTTTGCTCTCTATCAATTATTCAAATAAAAAAGAAAGTGAACGAGCTTTGTTAACATTTATATTGATAACCATTTATCAATAAGCATACAGATCAGCCTGCAACTATAAAATGAATCAAAATTAATCCTATTTTTAATCTCAATACGTAATATTTTATTTTTAAATATTAATAAAATAAAATAAACAAAATATTAAAAAAAAAAGGACAAGAACTTACTTCCTTGACCGGTACCTCTGCGTGGTGTTCGTACTGAATGTGGACTACGTTGTGATGATTCAGGTTTTTTTAATGCAGTCATTGTTAAAGCTTGTTCAGCAGCTAAATACAAGAAAAATGAATAAAAAGATTTTATTATTATTTTTTTTTTGTTATTTTACTTACCAACTTGTTGTGCTCGTTTAATGCTTGTTCCAATACCTGTATAAGTTTCATCAGCAACAGTTAATCGTACTTCAAATTGTTTACAATGTGCTGGACCACTTTCTTTAATTAAATCATATTTAGTAGTTACCTGACAAAAAAAGAAAAAAAAACTAATAAAAACTCAATTAATATTTTTTTTTTGTCAAACCTTATTAAATTTCGCTAATTCATTCATTAATTGTAAAACACTTTTTTCATTAGATGATGATGGTTTAACAACATCAACAACAGGAGTTGAAGGTGGATTTGGCTCAATAACTGGTGCTAATTCTGTAGTTGTTGATACTGTTGAACATACTGGTTTTTGTTCGACATCAGTTGTAGTTGATGTTTGATTTATTGAGGGAGTTACAGTTGATACTGTCTATATAAATTAACATATAAAAAAAACAAAACAATTATTTTCATAAAATAATAATTATACTACTTTAAGTTTCATTTTTTTAATATGTTTTTGACCACGAATATGTGCATCCATCATTTGTTGTGAATTAACTTCAATACCACATGCATCACATGTTAAAATTTCTTGTTTACGTTTTTCTGATTTGGGTGTTTGCATCTAAATATTTTCAAAAGAGAAAAAACAAAATTCTAATAATAAATAAAACAAATTGATATATACTGTTGGTCTTGGATTAAAAAAACGAGGAGTATGTGATTGAAAATGTGATGGTGGTGGTGGTTGTTGATTCATATATGGTTGTTCCATTAATGGTGGATGTTGTGGTTGATTATGCATTGAATATGGAAAAGACATCAGTGCAGCAGGTGCACCATTGTTAAAATTTCCGTTGTTGTTCATTTTGTTTTTTTTTTTTTTTTATTTAATAATGGAAAAAAAATCAATGTGTATTTTTTAGGGGTAAGATTTTGTGAATCCAACGAATACGTAACAGTGACAAATTGTGTGACAGAAAAGACAACAATGAGTCAATTGAAGAATAATTTAATTCGATAATGTATGGATGGAATATAACTTCTTTACAATAGATGACAGCATATATCATTGAAATGTCGATGAGTTTTTTTTTCTACTTTAGAATATTCTCGATTATTTCTTTCTTCAACTTATTTAGAATGATTTATAAAAAATTAACTTGAAAAACAAAAGTTCATTAAATATTAATAATAGAAAATTGAACGATAATTCCTTTGTAGTCATTATAAAGTGCCTATATTAAAGTTTTATGTTTTATTATAAAATGCCTGATAAACTCCAGATTTGTTCAAATATATGTACTAGTTGTTGAGATAGAATAGCTTGCTTAAAATAGAATTGGTTTGAAATTATCTTAGTTGTACCGATATTGATATCATCTTCTGTTGATCTTCCTTTCCTCCATTGTTTGTTCTATCTTGTGTTGATCTCTCTCTCTCTCTCTTTCTTATGGAAACATATATTATATTTGGAGCAGTTATATTCTAAAGATAAACGGTAACTCCATAAACATCATTTCTAGGGATGACAGTGGGCTACTACTCCTTCAATTTGTCATTTATTGAACTTGTAGCTTTTGTTTTTAAATCGATCTTTGTCAGAATAACAGAAATACAACATTTTTAGCTCATCGTTTGAAAACGTGTAGTAAATAAGTTGCAAACATATATGTTTTGAAAAATATGAAGAATAGTATTTAGAATTTGTAAATGTTGAAGTAATTGAAGAAAATAATATTGGCTGAAGCCCCAAAGACATGGAAAGTCGAAAGCTGAAGGACATGACATTGTTACATGACTATAATACTTACGGGAGAGAAGTACTAAATGAATGACAATGTTACAGAAAGAGTAGCCAGTAGTTATGGACTGATTGTATAAACATTTCGGCACATTTTCTTCTTTTAGCATTGGTACGTTTCATATTATTTCTTTATCTTTTACCTTTGTTGCATTGGTTTTTGCTCCAAACAAAAAGAAAGAAATAAGCTGGTATAGATGACAATAAATATAATTGTATATCGGTCGTAAACAATTATAATGCATTTATCATTGATAGAAGATATATATCACTGAAGCTGAAATTCTACAACTTGTAATGGTCTGGTTCTTGTCTTTTGTCACCATCTGTATTCTATCAAACTGACTGTTCTAGCTGGCTATCAATCCGTGATAGTCAAATACTGGTAGATGTGCAAACTATACGATAAAAAATAATCGATCATTCACTAGGAATAACAATCATTACAGAAAACATGTCAAAATGTTTTTTTTTTCTTCAGTTATTATCAGAATGAATAAATTTTGCTTTTCTTTTGTACTAATCGGAAGCGTTACATTTGATAAGACCAAATATGAAATGTGAAACTGTTTTGTTTTTTTTTTTAATGAAAAATTGTTCGAAGGAGATTGAATGTATTAAGTTTTCGCTACTTTCTATAGTTCTTTAATTAGCGAACAGTGATGCTATATATTTTTTTTCTCGTTCACTTTTTTTATATATGAGAATGCAAAGCTATTCGCGGATTGTGAAATACGAAAAGAAAACGATCTCGGTATCGTTCACATACTAGATTCGATTTTTTTTGGGTATGAGATAATTGATTTCGTTATTATTTATAGTTGATAATGAAAAATGTGCTTGAGTTTACTAGTTCATGAGTGAGTAGTATGTTTGCTTTTTTTTGTCTTAATGATATTGTGAGACGATAGATAAGTGTGAACTTGCGTGATCATTAATACATTTATGATGTATTCTATGAAGCTACGTTGTTGTGTATTTTTGTATAAAATGTCAGATGGGACCAGTTTAAAAGGTGAAGATAAACCGTTCTAAATATTTTATGTGTGGTGTACTATTGTTTTTCTTATGTGCTGTTGCATACATTTTTGTATATTATGTCAATTGTTAAGTAACCTTGTATTTAAATGTGAAAAAAAATGACATGAAGTGACTTTTACGAATCTTATTATTCAATGTCAGTTATATCCTTTTATCATTGCTCGATTGGTTCAAATGATAAGCTTATTTGAAGTTTTGTTCTTTTCTTTACTTTATGTTCTTGTTCTTTTTTCTTTTCTATATACTAAAAACGCTCAGGAGCGCGTTTAATCTGAGTGGATAGGTGTGTCGATATTTGATATCATCTCCTGTTAATCTTCCTTTCTCCGTAACTGTTTATTCTCTCTCGATTGTTCAATCCTGTGCCTATCTCTCTCTCCTATATAGTTATATGTTTTATGTGAAGTGATTATATGTTGAAGATATGAAGTAGCTCAATAAACATCATTACCAAGAGTGAAGGTTACTACTCGTCCAGTTTGTCGTTATATCAGTTTTTATCAGATGGTACATTGAACGTTTCATAGAATTTTATCCCTTATAGTTTTTTTTTGGCTACTCCAGTCCGAACTATGTAATAAAACTACAGAAGTATACTAGAATGGAGCCGTCGGAAGGTTAATGCTAGGATAAAATCAAATGTTTAACACTTCAGTTTACGTTGCCTAATGTTATTGTTCGAGCAAAATCGAAGCTATCAAGTAAGTCTAAAAAATTACTTTAAAAATATCTTCTTTTCAAACGAAAAAGTCACTTGAAACATGATGAGTTTCGTAAGTATTTTAATTATTCGATGTAGATGTCTCACTTTCAACAATATGATATTATACGACATCTATTGTGATTGTTCTAAAATACTTGCCAAATAATATCAAAACATCGTTGTAAAGAAAAGGGAGAACACGTATTATTAATTATATATACTCATGCATCATTGAGTTAACTATATTTTCGAGTATTTCAACATGTAATAATAATTTATTTTCATATTAACATTCCGATAGTTTTATTTTGTTTATCTTTTTTGAACTGTAGACAAGTCAAACAATGAATAATAAATAGATACTCAATTATTATTCAGGTTATTGATTGAATGAGTGAAATAAAAAATTCACATCGACATTCTTTACTATTTGAATGTTTTCAAATTGGTTCATTATGCATTGTTTGGTATAGTACGTAGATAAATAAATTATTTCAATCATTTCTTAAAATTATTTTTAATTCTCCTAATATTTTTATTTAGGTTCATCAGCAGCAGGCAATGTCATTGTTAAAGAATTATTAAATGAATTTCCGTTTCCGTTAACTGTTACATTAGTACAATTGTTAAGTATATGGATTCTTTGTATTCCACTTATTCGGTACATATAATGATTATTATTTTTTTTTGAATTTTATTAAATATAATCATTTTGTAGAATATGGAAAGTTCCTCCATCGGAATATCTTCATCAAAATCGAATTTATTATTTTAAAGTTATAATTCCATTAGCAATAGGTAAATTTCTAGCACAATTATCATCACATGTTAGCCTTTGGAAAGTACCTGTTTCCTATGCTCATACAATAAAAGCAACAATGCCATTATTTACTGTGTAAATTCTTCGATTTTTTTTTTTGGTCATTTATATTAAGATTTTTTATTTTTATTTTCTAGCTTCTTATCTCGATTAGTTCTTCATGAAAAACAAACTATGCCTGTTTATTTGTCACTTATACCTGTTGTAGTTGGAGTTATTATAGCAACAATGACAGAAATTTCATTTAATATGACTGGTCTTATTAGTGCTTTATTATCAACATTTGGTTTTTCATTACAAAATATTTATTCAAAAAAAGTAGATTAATAATAAAAGAATTATTTTTTTATTTTTACGATGATTTTTTATTTTTGTCTTTTTCTTTTAATTAGTCTTTGAAAGATATTGCAATTCATCATTTTATATTACTTTCTTTATTAGCAAAAATAGGCTCTTGTCTATTTATACCATTTTGGTTTTATTATGATGGAACTGATATTTATTACAATCAGAAATACGTGAGTAGGTGGTGATTTATTTGAATATATCGAGAGAGAAAAAAAAACAATGATTTATGTTTTTGTTTTAAACTAATTTAGCATGAATACAACTTAGTAATACGAGTCTTGTTTTATTTAATTCTTGATGGTATACTCAATTTTATACATAATGTTGTAGCATTCACAATGATATCACTTGTATCACCATTATCATATAGTATTGCTAATAGTACAAAACGAATTGTTGTTATTAGTATATCATTATTAATATTACAAAATCCAGTATCAATAACTAATATTATTGGTATGAGCTTAGCTGTATTTGGTGTTATGCTTTATAACAAAGTAAGTTGTTTAAAATAGTTGTAACTCTTTGAATTTTACATATTGATCTGAAATATTTTACAAGGTCTATTATGTAGATTCTTTAATAAAAGAGCTAATTTTTTTGTATATATATGTCTTCATTATTGAGAATAGTTTTATCGTAAATAAAGAAAGTTGAAATAATTAATAGTCTAAGAAAATATGTCCTTTAGATGGTCTTTGTTTTTATTGTAGAGATTTTATATTAATCAAATCTCAAAATGAATAGGTTTTTCTAATAAAATAATTCTCTTAGGATTAACATAGCTTTCATAATTAATAAAAATATTTTTTTTTTATTGAACTAAAAATAGAAGCGTTATTGTGTATAAGAAAAGCATAGAATGATATTATTATTATTATTATTATTATTCTACTTCATTACAATCAAATGATAATTGACTTGACGATTTCCATAGTGTACTCATATTTACAATTCATTCTTTAGTTTGATAAATATGTATCGGCATTGACTTAAAAAAATATATGAAAAAAAAACAACTAATATCTGAAGTTCTTCTTTAGTTTATTCCTAGAATATAATTGTAAGACGACGGAAACTGTTCTTTTTTCTTCAAAAATAGAATCCAATATCATAAATGGTTATTGAACCCTATTTCCTATTCACAAAAAAAACTAAATTAAAAATAGCTTGTCATTATTAATATTATTATAAGAACACTATACTTTTCTTACCGTTGGGACTTATTAAAATGATTCTCGTTTTTCTTTATATGAAACTAAGTTTCCATTTAATTCTCAAATTTTCTTTCATTTTAATGCATGAATAATGATCATATAAAACAACAAGATAATACTATTATATCTTTAATGTACTATAGAATTACATGAGTCATTGATTATTCATCATCATCATCTACGATTGAAAATTTTCTATTAAGATAGAAATAGTTTTGTAATTAATTTTTTTTTTTTTCTAGGCCAAATACGATCAACGTCGTGCTCAACAGAAAGAAGCTGTTTTACCATTAGTTCGAAGTGAACCAGCATTACCACTATTGAATCATGATGAACTTCAATCTTCACATCCATCTTCTGAATTAATATCTCGTCATCATCAAATATCACTTGAATCTCGACCATCGATCTCTTATGAAAATCAAACATTTAAAAATGTTTAATAGTTTTCGTTTTTCTTTTTTTTATATCTTACTAATTATTCTTCTAGTAAATGAAATTTTATTCTTAAAAGAGCAAACTAGGAAGATACAAGGCTCAATTAACCAAAAGAGAAAAAAAATCAACATGAGAGAAAGAAATCAACAAAGCAGAAAAGAGCGAGTATATAAGTCAAATAATAATAATAATAATATTAATAATAATAATAAATGTTTTAAGAAAAAAAGAAAAAAAAAAAAACTTGAAATTATTTTGTTTCTGTCCAAAAAAAAAGAAAAGGAAAATAAACAAAAATTTTAACGCAACAAATTTCATAATAGAAAAAAAAAAAAAGAATGCATGAAGGACTGTCTAAAGTCGAATAAATAGATGAATATATCTTGACTATCGACAAGAGAGAAAAAAAAAAAGAAAAACTTATTGTTTGACTAGGAATGGAATAACCAGACACACAATTTCGTTGTTATTATTCATGACTAGAAATACACTGTGCGTCGTAATGAAAAAAACAAAAACGAATAGATTTTTAATATGGTTTAGCCAAATCTTTTGGACGTTTTAATTGAACTTTTAAACGTTTCATACCGATTTGAAATCCATTCATTGATTGTATGGCTTTAAAAAAAAAAAATAACATTAAAATTATTAACAAAAAAGTTTTTTTTTTTTTTTTGTTACCTTGCTGAGCACATTGAGGATTATCATAAGAAACAAATCCTAAAAGCAAAAAAAAGAAAAAGAAAAGACAATACATTTCATTAATGAAATTCTCAAATGAGTTAAAGAGAAAAGAAAAGATCGCGCGTGCAATGAGAATAAAAAAAGAGAACTGCATTGGATTGTCACATCACAACATCGAATAGAAAAAACAAATGATCAATGTTTAAAAGTAAATCTCTTGATGCGGCGATCCACTACTAAGTTCAGATCTTCTTTTTTTGTCCTCTTCATTCGTTTACTTTTATTTTCTCTTTCTCTCACGACATATATATATATATAGATATATAAACAATAACATTGAAACACTAAATATGTACCAAAACATTTGGATTGATTTGTGGCTCGGTCAACATAGACCTTGGCCGATATAACATTGCCAAATGGCATAAACATTGATGCAAGTTCGGAATCACCAAACTCTTGTGGTAAATGGTAGATGAAAAGATTGCAACCCTCAGGTCCGAAGAACTGTGGTAAAGCTATGAAATCGAAATTGTTTAAATATTATTTCGAGAAAAAATTAATTAAAAAAAGAATAGAAAAAGAAATTTCACTGATAACAGAAAAATCTTATAAGTTTAAATTTTATTATAACTAACCTTCTTTTCCTGGTGATGTTAATGTACTTGGAATGAGTGTAGTAGTTGGTAAATGAGAATAAATTGCTGTTGGAGCATAAATAGGATATTGAGCAGGTAAAGTTGTATAAGCGGTTGTTTGTTGTATTTGTAAACCAGTGGCTGTATCAATGGTTGGACCAACGACAGCTAATAATAAAAAACAAAAAATGATGAATATATACATGTTGTTGTTGTTGTTATTTTTTTTTTATTAAAAATATATTTATTTACTTGAATATTGCATTCCCGAAGAAAATAAATCTGTTGGTTGACCATTAGGAGCAGGTCCTGTTTGATAAATTGTTGCTGAACCATTATTGACAGGAGATGCATTGACTAAAGAATAATTAGGAAAGTCCATATTGTCACAATCACCTATGAGATTATTTTACTCGAATTTCAACTTGATATTTAATTTTTTTTTTATCTATGATAAAAAGAAATTTTTTTTCTAATTACCTGTTGATGGTGTCATTGTACCATTAGTTAGTTGTTGACCAGATGTTGTTATAACTGGTATTGTTGTATATGCTGTTGGATGAGTACCATTTGATGATGCTAATAAAGCTTGTTGTTGAATTTGTGTATAACCTTGATAATTTAAATTTGCTGCTATTTGTTGAAGTACTAAAGGATTTGATAAAAGTCCAAGAGGACCAGCTAATTGTTGCATACGTCTTAATTGTCGTTCTTTTTCTGTATCTGCAAATTTAACAACAATTGATGATGATGCACCTGGAAATGTTTGACTTCCATGAACATTTTGTATAGCTTGTTGAGCTTCATTATGTGTAGAAAATTTAACAAATGCACAACCTTTACTATCACCATTAGGCCCACGTAAAATTGTACATTCTTCAATAGTACCATATGGTTCAAATATAGTACGAACATTTTCTTCTGTCATCTGTTTGTTCAACATGCCAACAAATAATTTGCGATCTTCTGTTAATAGAAAAAAAAATATCAAAACTACATTTATCTAAACATACAAATAACATCTGCCATTTGTGACTACACATACACACACACACACACAAAAACACACTTTTGAACTAACTGAATTATATGTTGATGCAACTATTTTATTTTATTCTCACCTAAATTTCGTATTCGATTAAGAGTTGCTGAATACTGTGGTTGAGTCTGATTTGATGCTGTCACCATCATGTATATATATATGTGTGTGTGTAATATGGAATACAAGGAGATGACTGATGAAGATGTAAAATAGAAAATTTCTTCTGTTTCTCTTCTGCTCTTCGCTCGGAAATCCCTAGCGTCTACTTCGCTTCTGTTTCTTCTTCTTCTTCTTCGTTTTTTTTGTCGACCGGAAAAAGTAGTCACTCTCTTTTTCTCTCTCTATTTCTCGACTACCTAGCTAGCTATTCAACCGCTCTTCTTTCTATATGTTGTCGGGTCAAATTTCTATCGTCGATGAGAAATCTTATTAAGCTCTTTTTTTTTTTGTCTGTCAGACAAAAAAAACGAGGATGCTGTTCTCGCTCACTCGTCACCGATTGGACAATTTGTTTTTCTTTATTCTTCTCGAGTTCTTTTTTTTTATGAGCGTGCGCTGTCGTTTTTCTGCACGGAACAAAAAGCAAAAAGAATTCTCTTTTCCTTGCTAACTACAATTAACCTGATGTGTGCGTATGCGTGTGTGTGTATATGTGTGTATAATAAAAATGACAGAGGAAAAAAAATTAAGAAACAAAGATAATCATTAGAAAAATGAAAAAGATGTATGTGACTTTTCACAACGAAGAGGCTGAGCACATTGATATGAACCGAGACAAAAACTAGCACGACGATTTAACATTACACCATTTAATTAGAGATATAGAAAGAGTAATCAGCAACTACACAGGCACTATCACCACCATTCATAAATAAATGACAATATATATATATATATATCGATATATATTCTACCTAACTCACATCAATATTTGTTGTTGCTGATGCTGATGCTAATGCTAAAGTCAGACATACAGGTACTTATCATATAAAACATCATGACGATGGGAAGAAGAAGAAGAAGAAGCGAACGACGAATAAGGAAAGGGAAAAGTTTGCATTTTTTTAAATTCTATTCCAGCGTTCAAATCTTGACAATTATACTTTGACTGTTGCTGCATCACTTCCGCTTTCTGTCATCAACAATAGATTGTTAATTTCCTTTTTTTCTGCTTTACTTTCAAAGTGTTATCTTCTCAGAAAAAAACGACTGTCTATATGTGTATGTTTTGTCAACGTTACACAATGGTTTATAAAGAGAAAGAAAACTTGATGAATAATAAATATTTTTTCATTTGAGATTTACTAATAATAATTCTTTACTGTCATGAAATAGATGTTATTAGCCAATGAATAAGCGATCCGTTAGATAAATAGAAAAACAAGATTGATTTTGACCAATAGAATATTAATGATGAGTTGATTTACCTGTTCGTGATTCGCTATCAGCCGGCTTGACTTGAATAGGACGACTCATCTAAAAGAATAAGGAAAAACACCTAAATTAATTTTCTTGAAACATTTTGCATCTTTTATTTGTCAAAATATGTCTACGTGTCTGTATGTATGTGTGTGTTTTGTCTTTACACAACTATTCCATTTTCTTTTTCCCTTCTCTATCCTTCTACTTTTTCTGCTTCGTTTTTAGCCTCGTTCTTATTTTTTTTTTCTTGCGTTCTCTAATTCTCTCTGTAAGTCTCTTCTGAGCTACATAATTAGTAATCGGGATGAGAAGACTATCGACTGGGTGGTATAGCACTTCCGTTTCAACAAAGGGAGGAGTATTCGGTACCATCTTGTCTGTTCGAAAATTAATTGTCAAGCACGCAATCTTATGACATGTATATGCATTGGTGCTCATATTCTCCTTCTATCCATCATCGTTTAGTTAGAAAGCACACATGCACGCTCATTGTAACTCGCCAGAGGCGATTTCCGTTTTTATTCTTAGTACGCTTGACGTTTGTCATGATAGACATGGGATACGACAAGCTTGCCGACATCTCTATTCGGTCATCTGTATATCTTTCATTCATTTGAACATTACTAATTATATACTCTCGGCAAGGGTTAAGTTCAAAGAAGCAATCAAGTGGAAAATCGACACGTGCCATAATGGTATTTTAGATTCTTTTTTTTTCTTTCTGTTTTGTAAAAATGGTAAAGACAATTAATGAAGTTAAGCGTATTTGATGAATGTGGAAAAAAAAAGATAAAAAGAAGAAAAAAAACAGGGGTCTAATAGATTAATAATAAAAGACTTCATCTAAATAGACATTTTTATGCTAAACTTACAATTGTAATTGATGATTCCGAAGAAGTAGAAGGAGACGTATCAGTGCTGTTGTTACGATATTTTCTTTTCATTGCGCGCTAAAGCGCTTGTCGACTGGTATAAGCTAGTCGGAGTTTAAATGCATGCTTTTAAACATGCACAAAACTACTAACATATACAAAAAACCTAAATTGATTCAATGGCTACGACACAAACTCGTTCTCTCTGTCTCTTTATATCTATATATGAATAGTTTTTCCGAACAAAAAAAAAAGTGACGATGAGAAGAAGAAAAAAATAATAAGTTGATGAGAAAAAAATCTCGTCTGTCGCGTGCTATTTATAAAAAGGAAAAGCATGTTCATTGTGTGAGTCGGAAATAGCAGCATGCGTCTATTGTATTAAACCGGGAGATGAAACGAACATATATATATATATATAAAGGAAAAAGGGCGCAAGCCAATGCAAGAATAAATGTGAACAAAGTAAAAATAGAGGATGCTAATGATTTTCTATATATTCTTATATGAAATCTGTAAATGAAATCGATGCATTGATTTGTATTTATTTATCTATTGTCAATGAAGAAATCCTTCAAATATATAGACTCACACAAAAAAGAAAGAATTCAACATTCTATGACTATCTATAGTAGTAAGAAAACAATGAAATGAAATGTCATCTTGATGATTCGCATTTCTTCAACAGAAAATGCTAAATTTTATTCATTTTTTTAAATTAATTACATTGCATTCATTCTTATACTTTCTTAATTTTTGTCAAGAATATCTCGAAACCGGTTGAAAGATTTTTGCTGAGTTAGAACTTCGCTTGGAAAAAGTTCCTCAAGAATGAAGGGAAGGGGAGGGGGGGTTAATATCTTGCTGCTCGGTATACCCTTGATTATTTTCATATCACTTGTTATATGTAGATGACTTTAGGAATAGATTGATCAATCGAGTATCACACCTAATTTTCTAATAATATGTTCTTATGTTTGCCTATAGGTCTTTTTTAAGTTGACATGTCATTATGGAACAGAATACATGTGAGAAATTTAACATGTGAGCTTCATTTATGCTTTTTTTATATAGTACAGTGACATCTACAGTACATACGCCTGGTAATGTTCGTCGTTCATGTAATGCTTGTTGAGCTTTAAGTGCAGATTCACGATGACAATAGGTAAGAAAAGCACATCCTAAAAAGAGACAAAAAACAAAAAATCAGATCCGTTATTTTTTCTTAAAGAGCAGTCGTATTATTATATTCAATATTCATCAATAGATTTCAATAGATGACATCTGTCGAAAACTCCTTACCATTGAGTGTATCAACCAACATGATGAAACTGTAAAAACTGAATGAATACAATGTTTGCTACTTTTGTTTTATTTTAAAAGTTGACCATCTGTCAAGGAAAAAAAAGAAAACAAAAATGATTATTAATATCGTTCATTGCCTCTGGTTGTCGACCGTCACTGCGAGCAGAGAGAAACAGTGGCACTATGATATGAGAGAAGTGTCAAGGGGAAAAGAATAAATATAATTTTTTTCTCTTTCTCCTTTTCCCTTCGTTTTTTTTTTCTGACCAGTGTGAACGAAAAATAACTATTCTCGTCATGAACGAAACACATTTGACAAGTCATTGAGTCTCTCTTGTTTTTTTTTCCTTCTATTCTATTTCATGTTTCGGTCAGACAGATGGTCATAGCCACGCATTCTTCCCTACGTCTTGAATTCAATCAATCGATCATTTATTCATCGAGAATATTCACCTTCATAAAAGAAGACAAAAAAAAAAATGAACATGTCTTTCACACCGTTTCAGATATAAATAAGAACCGGAAATATGTGTTTTACTTCATTAGATATAGAGAATAATATGTTGCCTAAAGGCAAATGAAAAAGAAAGCAAATTTTATTTCTTAATTCCTTACCACGATGCATGCCAGTAAATCTATCTTTAAGTACAGTTAATTCATAGATTTGTCCGTATTCTTCAAATATAGGTCTGAGATCATTTTCTTCTAAATGTCGTGGTATTTGTCCAACAAATAATTTTACTGTATCGGTATCTTTTAAATCAGATGATGGAGGCGTTGAACCACGAGACATATAAGCTGTTGGTGAAGCTATTGGTGACATATATGATGAATTGTTTGCTTGTATAGATGTTAATTGAGATGATGAGTGAATTTGTTGTTGTTTTCTACTTTGTGTTGATGAAAGAGAAATGGAAGATGTTGTCGTCGGATAAATAGTTGCATATTGCATTGATGATGTTGTTTGAATAGGAGTAAAGTAAGTATGTGATGATGGTAATTGTTGTTGATGACTGTATTGCATTGGTAATAATGATCTGGAAGAATAAGTAAGCCTATTTATATGGGAAAAAAAATGAGGTGTAGAAGAGAAAGACAAAGAATTAGAAAATAGATGACAAAACAGATCGCCAAATGAGAACTATATGACTATGATGACGATTGTTATAGTATTGACATATTCAACACACTTGCTCTAATGCATTCCAACAACATAGCAATAGAGAAAAAGAGCCTATGAAATAGGCTAGAAGAAAAATCTTCTGTTTCTCTTTTTCTCCCAATGTCCCTCGTCGATATCTATACTTGCATTTTTTTTAATACGATAGGCAGAATCGGCAAAAAAAACTACTGTGAGTAGTAAAAAGGAGAGAGAGAGAGAGAGAGAGAGAGAGAGAGACAGAAACAGGGAAAATCATCATAGCATTCTCGACTACTGTAGAGAGAATGAACGATCATAAGAAAGAATTAATTTATATGTAAAACTAAAAAGAAAAAAGAAAAAGAAGAATGTTTGTAGCTCACGACATTAAAATATTGACATTGGATGCTGTCGTCATCTTTGTAAGCTAAAATCTAGAAGAAGATCGATGCGATAATCATCTTTATCAACGCTTGCAAATAATGATGTCGTTTCTTAGTCTTTCCTCAATGGAAGAGCTGATGAACGATGAATTCTAGTTACCATCATTTTACTATCTTAAGTCAATGACTGATCACAAACGGAAGACGTTTTTCTCGTTGCACACATAGCCATTACAACAATTAGGAAATAAGATTCAATCAGCAAGCGGCTAACATTCGCTTGTCGTTTTCTCTTCTCTCTCTCTCTCTACTTGTTGAGTTTTCGCTCTCGCGTCTATTTTCAATATTATTATTAAATAAGAATAAGAGAAACAAAAGGGAAGAAAAAGAAAGAAAAACGCAACTAGTAACTAGTTCAATCAAGCAAACATATAGATAGTTATTTCTTAGTTTCTTTGTTTTTAATGTAAGACAAATAAAGCGGAAGAATCTTGTACGTTCAAAGACAATCATACCTGTTCTGTATTTGTTCTTTTAGAGAAAAAGACATAAAATCAATATAGAAGTTTTATTCTCATTTTTGAACATTTTTTCTTTCTCTCTATCTCTCGCGTTTACTATAATTGTTTGTTTAATCGATCGAGAACACCTGTACTTATTTTTCTGTTCTTTTTCTCGTGCATATCTAACTTGAGAAATCAGAAAAAAACATTGGCAAAGAGACTCTCCATCGAACTTGTGCTGATGAAAAAATAGCAAATTGATTTGGTGCCGTCGTGCAATGCTCATCATATATGTCAGATAGACTAATTTGATTAGGGAAATTTTCGAAATAACAGAATAGAAAAAAAAACGAAGAGAGAGAGAGAGTAGAACAAATATATATATCTATTTTTTTTTCTACTTGACAGATGTATAGATTGATTTTTCTTGTCGTCTGAATGACCGATTTACAATTTATTCAATGATTATGATGATGATCAATAAATAGTCAGTGTCTGACATTTGTAAACATCAGTGATAAAAGAAGAAAAATTCTTTTATTTAGTTTTATTGCAAGAACTAAACTTCAACATACAGAACTTTTCATAAACAAATGATTATTTCCATATTTAAGTATTCATCATTAATGTAAATCTTGTGCAACTATTATCTCAGTTAGGAATTTGTTTATAAGAATTAACAATTCTAAAAAAGAAAAAAAAAGAAGAGATTACCGGAAATATATCATTAGGAAAAAAAAAGGAAAACAATAGTTAATTAAACATTAAATTGTTTATTGACGATTAATATAAATCATCATTTGAGTTGATCAGTAATTTTAATTATAAAACATTTTCTTTTTTATAATGAATTTAATCTTTTCTGAAAACAATGAGAGTCAAACAAAATATATGAATATTTAATAGTAAAGATTCTGAAATACCTTTATTATCGAAGATTCGTCTACATAATCAAAAAGTTGTTAGCACAATCTGTGCAGGATTGAATTGTGAAATACAATATAGCTGATTACATGAAGATTATTTTATTTTGTCTATGTTGAGACAAATTTTTTCACTCTCTTTTGACTTATTCCTATAGAAATTCAATAAGGAAGTAGTTAATATATTCTAATGAGCCGTCATTTATATACAGTCTGTGATTTTAAATCAACAGTGTTCGTTATGGTCTCCGGTTAGTGTCTATCACGATCTGCAAAGATGAATGCAACATTTCTACTCTGTCATATATATATATCTTTCATTTTTTTGTGCAGCTCATTGAATAAATATTGCTGTTATCTTAATAAAATAAGTTGCTTAAGTACTAAATAGCTCAAAGCTGATTGTATTTCATCTATTTATGATTCATGTTGATTTAAAAAAAAAAGATTCGATTATCGGAGAAATGTTTCTACTAGTAAATAAATATTAGTTAATTGATCAATAATTAAATAGATATTAATTAGACAAAGAACAAGTCTATAAAATAATATTATCATATACAATTTAAAATAAGAATAAATTAATCAAGATTAAAAAATGATTTTAATCAGAATGATTCATCATATAATGAATATATATACAATATTTAGAATTAATAACAAATAATTTTAACTATAATTGCATTTAATTGATAATGACAAAGAAAATAAATTGTTTTTATGCCACTTCATTCGAGTGATCTGTAGCATCGAAGAAAGTTCGTTTCTTTTTTTTTGCACTAAATGACTCAAATGTAACAACAAATTCTAAAATAATTCAGTCTCTTTTAATTTCTATTTTTTTTAGTTTTCATAGACAACGAAGTCAAAAGACCTGGTTAAGCTCTGTTACAACTAAAAATTTTCTATCACTGTTTACTTTTCATTGTCTTTTAACATACGGTACGTTACAATGTCAGCCCACGCTTTATTTTTTAAATACACCAAATGCTAGAAAAACAATGTTTTCTAAATACAGTAAATTGCTATCGTTATATTTAACAACTTCCGTAACTACAAATGTTGTTGAGTGATTGTTCAATGTTATGAATTGAATTAAAAAAATATTTATGCTGCGCTATGATTCAAAAACGTTTAAATCATGTTATTATTTGTCATATTCATACAGAAAAATTAGATTTACTTGATTTGAACAGCATCTATTCTGATTTTATCTCTTCTTAGCCTCTTTTTTTTTCTCAGTAGAATTTTTCTATTACTTCTTTAGTTCTTGATTTCTTTAGAAATAATAAAGTATTAGGTAATTATTTAATTCAGAGGTCTACCAGAAACTAGAATGAGAGTGACAGCAAAACCACACACACAAATATGAATTGAGCTTTTAATAAAATTTTCTAGATTCAGTATGAGCTTAGTAGATTTTAATGAAATGACTAAACTAATAAATATAGAGATCAGAATTTTGAATTATTTTATAATACATTTACGTCATGAGCTCTTGCTTTTTACTTTATTTGTCTCTTAGCGGTATCAAGTTTTCAACTGAGTTAGCTCTTTGGATTTCAATTATTCATTCAACAGCTACTGCTTGATATTTATTACGAAAAACAATTGCCATTTGAGTATATTTAACAAATAAAATATCTATATACAATTGAATAAAAGTTTAATTCATTCGTTTAAATATGTAAGTTGATATGGTTGAAATTAAACAAGTACGTTTTACGGACAAACTGAATAATATGAGATGATGACCGATATTTAAAAAAAGAAATGATTTCGAAATTTTCAGTTACATTTTTTCTATTACTCTATAGAAAACTAATCTAGCGGTAGATTATTTTGATTGTTCTGCACCATTGTTCTTTATTATGTGATAAAGTACAAACCAGAAAAATAAAAAAATAAAATATTATTTTTTATGTTTTTGTTTTTCTATTATCAAGATATTTATGCATTGTACTAAAATATCATTAAAGGTATTCATCAATGATATTAGTACATGTCCGCATCCATACTTTTTTATGATTATCTATTATTTTTTAGGCTTTCCAAACCTGGAAGAAAACTTTCATAGATATTAATTTCAAAAAGCATTTACAGTAAATCACTAGGAAACTGATAATAACCTTTGACATGATGTAAATTATGTGTTTGTATAAAAAGATTTTAGATTATGAAGAATCAGTGAAACATATTTGTCTTCTTTATAAACTATAACAGTATGCAATGTATAAGAATCAAAACCATAAAAATATGATTATTATACATCAAGTAAAAAATGATACGATGATTCGTGATGCTTGAGTGATACCAATTAGAAAAATCATTTATGGTAAATTTCATATTTGAAGCTATCGAGAACTCCATAATCGCAAAACTTTGTTGATAAGAAATATCGTTGTCCATATCTATCGTTCATAACTTTTGTAAAAATGAAACATTGAGCCATAATCAATAAGTTGATCATTACATTTATCCATATAACTTATATTATGTGTATGATCTTTTAATAAAGAAAATTCATTATTTATGTTTATTTTTATTCGATTCATATTTTGTTTTAACAACTCTCGCAAATGCAACAGTTATATCAATGCACGTATAATTTGATTTCTTATGATGAACATATGGTAGAATATTTGCGCACTTCTTTTTTTTTGTTAACTATAGTGTCTACACATAAAATGAGAAGGCAAATAATTGATTTGTTGATAGACAAGATAAGAAAAACAGAAGAGAACATATCGAGTATTTGAAGTCATTTGTTTTCTTTTTTCTGTTTGAACCTTATTTCAGACTTCAGCATACATCAATGTTGAGAGCAAATAAAGAAATTTTTCTATTATTATTCTAACGGTATTATTTAATACAGAGTAGAAGATGAAAAATGCAAGAGCAAAAAACGATATTCATCAATTTACGATACTGTACTTCGAGTATTGTCAAACATCGAGCAATAAAAACAAAATGTTGCAAGTATTGATATTCTATGCAGTAACGAAATATTATTCAACAAAGATTAGTAAATATAATTTTAATTGTATGATAAATTGATGCTTTTATATAACAGA